CCCTACACTTGAGAGAAACATAACCCCACAATAAACTTAGAGTTTTGGAAAGTTAAAGATTTTCTGCAAACCAAGGCCAACAATTACTGTCAGCAATATTCAAAGAAGCCTTTATGGAAGTTGCAATTCCAATCAAAGCTGTCACTGCTTCACAACATCACACAACAGAGGAGAACAAGGGAGTCAAACAGGGAATAAGTGACCATACCCAGTGCATTGGCCATGCAGATGCTGTGAAAGTATACTGAGTCCTGACACATCCAGTATTTAACCATAAAGAGAGCCAAATAAATTGTTTTCCTCCACTTCCTAACAAATGTTAGGATTAACCAAAATATGAGATTTTAGATATTCTAATCTCAAAAGATAAAGGCATAACAGACTAGAGGAGCTAGTGATTACAGAGAACCTAGAAACATAATGCCCAATAAATAAGAAAGCTCCTAACAGACTATACAAATTCTGTTATCCTAACAGAAAACCTTCAGACAAAAAAAACCCACCCTATTCATTATTTTTGTGCAGTGTTCTTTTATGAGGAGTGATGGGCAAGCAGACAGCAGCAACACCGGTTCCCTGTGCCATAATCAACAGGGCTGTCCCCTGAAAACCCGCTAAGCTGCACACCAGAAAATCAGGATCTGAAGGAGAAGGGATTCTGGCAGCATGAAATGAGAACACCGTGCCTATAAAATAGCAGCAACTACATTTTAAATTCCATCGTCACTTATTTCTTTAAAATTAAAAGCAAAGTAGCTGTTTTCATCTTTTAGTCACCCTTCCTGAATGTGCTGTATGTCACAGGAATATTTTTCCTGTTCTCTCCTTCACTGCTTTTCTCATCTCCTTTACTTCAACCAAGATGAGAGAAACAAAGCATCAGTGTTTCCAAACATGCCCCAGGCACAGATATATCTTAAGACAGTTCTCAACCAAAGCTGAAACATTCTGGACTGTACACACAAACAGGTAGTGTTTGCCAGGTGAAAATGTTGCTGGAATGCACCGAATCCTCTGCACTTTAAAAGGAATAGGAGAAAAGGAAAGGACTAAACCAACTTAAGCACAACCTGGGACTTAGAAGCTTTGCCTGGCAGAGTAACTATGAAAAAGGGTGGATTTATATAAACATTAAGCAGTGACTTGATCACAACAAATCAAAAAGGTTTATGGTAAATTCTTCAATTTAACAGCATAAGATTAAAAGCTGAAACTACAAATATATATAAACTTACAGACAGAAGAAATTTTGAAAAGAAACCTATTGACTCCTTTGGGCTTCAGAGTTTGCTAACACAGACCACAGAAAAAGGCAGAGTACATGGTTGCTGTGGTCTAAACCAAAGCACAGCAGACAGTAATGAGACTGCTGACATGACTGAAAAATTCTAAGGAACCCCACCTCTCACACATGATACTGTAAAAACGCTTACCTGACTGAGAAGGAGGGAACTGAGTTAGGGATGAAGTTCTCTCACGCTTTACAGGTGGACAGTAGTTCCCATCCTCTCGATCAGATTCTGCAGGAAAACAGTAATTATAGAAATTAATTATAGAAAATGCACAAAATCCTGGAGATATATACTTGTGGTTTTTAATCATACAGTCAAGTCCCTTACCATCTCCATCTTCTGGACTTGATCCATCTGCTGATCTCTGAAATCAGATGACAATGATAAAACAAAAATCACATACTGAACATTTCAATCTCTTTGGATAAATCAAAATGCTTTAATCATCAGTTTGGAGATTGTTTTCTTTACTGTCAATGATATACACCCATGGCAAAGCACAATTTTTATGACATACATGTAGGCATACTGAGTTTCAGCTAAATACTATTTAATAAGATTAATTAAAGTTATTTAATTTACAAATAAGATACCTGAAGAATCATATCCAAGCACTAACATCCCTAGAGACTAAGCAACAACTGTTACAATTTTCTATATATTGAAAACATGAATGTGACAATTTTCAAATTTGGTTTGATTTTAAAAATATCATTGAAGTTTTAAACTCATCATGACCATACCCATTATTTGGGAGTTCATTCCAAAGCACTTTTCCTAATTAATGTAGATGGCATCGGTCCCTTCAACGAAAGGACAGCACTGGAGGAACATCTTTCAAAGCATGCTCTAAACCAGTACTATGAGATTGTCACAGCAATTGGCAATGGACAGTCCCTGGCATCTCCCACAGCACCAAGAACAAGACAGGAAGCATCACAGACTACAAATGGTCATAATATTAAAAGTCTTTGAACAGAAGTCTCACATCTTCTCTGATGATTTCTAGGTCTCTCTCCTACTTGCTCTGCCAGGTCCTCATCTGATAATTTCCCTTGCTCCTGCAAATCCCAATCCCATGATAAATTCCTTTCACCACGCACGGTGACCAGGGCAGCATCAGCACCCCCATCTCATCACAACACCTCCTGACACGCTGGACCTTCCCCAGGTCCAACGCTCCCTTTCCTCCCACTGCTGCCCTAGGACATAAGGTCACACACCTCGCCTTCAGGGCTCACTGCAGAGCTTGGGGGACCTGTGGAGGGACAGCCCCTCACAGACAAAGCCCATGTTGGCCCCAGAGCTCATCCTGCCTCACTGCAACTGGTCACACTGGTATGAAGAACAGGCAGAGACACGAGGACCCAGCAACACAACAGGACTTGCTAGGGCTGCACAGGTCTATAATCTGAAATACACACCCTGGGTACAGAACACCAGAAAGTACAAAACTTTCTATGTGGCACTGCTCATATTTAGAATCTAGATACTGTCTGTATTTCACTCAATGTAAATAAAAAGCCATTTACACTGCATTTCATCTATGCAGTTAAGTTTAAGAGGTTTTCTAGTTTGTTTTACATGAATAGAAAAGTATAGCTACTTCACTAGCATCCCAGTCAAGGACTTCTGAAACCCTTAGCATAGGGAATGAAAAGCTATTGACAGTTCTGAAACACACACATCTATCAGCCCAATCCCACACTGTATTTGATGATCCATGCTTTGTCTACATAACTGGTCAAGTACTCCACTTATCAGGCATCTCCCTTGCCAACATACACCGGTTTCCCAAAAGATAAGGCTAAAGTAGAAAATCATTGTCACCTATCTGCTTCAAGAATCGGCATCTGAAGTCAGAAGAAAAAAGAAAATCTATTTTACATAGAAAGTGTTGTCATATATCAGCAATTTGTTTCAATTTTTAGCAAAACACCTGAAAGCAGAAGAAAATAATTTAGTACAGTACTGCATTAATGAAACTGCAGATCTCTATGTGCAGAAATCCTTAAAAGCCAACACATGATTTCCCCATGAATTTCAAAAACTTCTTAAGCTGTTACTGATATGTGCTGTATTCTCAATGCTCAAGTAACACAGCCCAAAAAAAGGTGAAACCTGTATAGCACAAGCTTCAAACTATCACATCATGGTCATTTCATCAGCTGATGCAAGCACAACTCAATATACCATCACAGCATCTAGTAGGCCAGGAGCATCAACACCCAAAACCAACTCTGTAACCTGCTGAGGATCTGCTCTCTCCAAATTATTTCCATGCTTCCCAGTCCAAGAGTTCTAGGAGATTAAAGCTCTGCAAGTGCCCACACGACGAGCGCTACAGCAGTTACTGACGTTGCCAACCCCAGTCAAAGCAGATGCTGCACAGAAGTAGAAAAGGACTTTCCCTTTCTCTCAAATGTATTTTTCCTACATAGGCATCGAAATATCTGGATCATTTGGTACACTACCTCCATCTACCCATTCAATACCTCCATCCATACCCATTCACACACTGCGTGCACTGTCAAGTTATTGCCTGGGGAGGTTGGGACAGGCCTTGCAAAAAACTCCTACCAGAAAAATGTAACAACAGGTTTAAATGTTCCATAGACTCGGGAATTCAAAGGTCAGACAAGAAAAATGCCATAGTCCCTTAGGTTGATCCCCAAGCACAGACAGGCCAGAGAGCCTCACTTATGCCTGCCTCAGTACTGAAACTCCTGTCTGAGCATTTAAGATATCCAGGTTCAGTTTTCTCAATTCGCTCTTACAGATGTTGAAAAATATTCCTAAATCCTTCATCTTTTGAAGAAAGGCTTTCAAGAAAACAAAGCTGTGTGCACCTGATGAAGCCAGATGTCCCACATCTCCTTCCTAGGTGATGATATGGAAGAACCTGCAGTGAGGAGTCAAATGCTTGAGGAAGCAAGAAGTTCTCTCCCTTCCCATCTGCCTCTGCCCACAGAGGAGTCTCCACACTTCTCGGGATCCTTGGTCAAACCTGGCGGAGTTAAAGGTAGGTGGCACAGGGCTGCAGGCACCCTCTGTTAGATATCCTCTGTCAGCATAAGCTTTGTTTGCATGTGTAGCCGTACTATAAAGGAAGTTACCGCCACAGCCAGAGGTTGCTTACCAGTGTTGCTCATTTGGGAGAATCTGGGGAGACCAGAGAAAACTTAGGGGGAATGCATGACAGTTTACTTGACAGACTGGAAAAAACAGCAGATTACAGTCAGTGATAATAAGCAGCAGTCCAGTCTCTCCACTGCAGGCCTCTCTTTCCAGGCTGCTCAGTCTGTACTTTAGAGCAACGGCTGTTTTACACAAGAACACTACACAGCCAGGACCACCTCATCCTGTAAGGCACCACCAAGGTGACTCAACTTCTCTCCATTCACTTCTTTGAAATCAGAAGCTGAAGAGACACTTAAACAGCAACATCAAAATCCAACCTACAATTTACTCCTCATTGAGGAACAGAAGACACCTTTCACTTACTTCCTCCTCCCCCTACTTTCAGAAGCCCAGATACAGAAAATTTCTAAATAGAGGCTCCTACAATTCTGACTCATTTCCAATTACCCAAATTACCTTTTAAAGGCTACCAACTGCTTTTTAAGTGCAAATGAAAGTAATTACCATCCCATACTGAAATAAAGTTGTTAAACTAACCAAGAACAACTTACACAAACTTCAACAGATTTGCCAGTTTTTGTTCATTCACAATAATGAGCAGAAACAGGGAAGCCAAGGGAGAATTCAGGTAAAGCAAAAAAATAAAAGGATAATGTAATCAGGTGAAATCTCTAAGAGTGCACTTACAGTGGTTGTCCTTGAAAAATACATTTAAGATGCAAAAAGTCTTATGTAAAAGGACTTCAGAGCATGGTACAGCAAGTCTGCAATCTGCACATTTATAACGTTATTCAATTGCCATGGCTGTTGCCTAAAATCTGTTTCAGAACCTCTTCAACAATGGATTCCTGCTCACACGGCAACCGCTGCTGTGGCCTAGCATGGCTTAGACATCATGGCCAGCTCTGCAAGAGCCCGTATCTCCAGCCACACTGTGTTAATGTCACAGCAAAAGTATCAAACAATACCAAGTAAACAAGAAATAGGCAGTGTCTCTTCTTCAGAACTCACTCTTAATGCGTCTGTCTCCCCCAGGGCCCAGGGAAGTTTTCATGAAACTTTCTGCTGCAGCAAAGCAGTGTGAGCACTCTGAAGATGCATCCATCCACCTTCTGTATATTTTTCAAGATAAGAGACTGTTTTACTCTGAGAAACAGGGATAATTTGAACAACACTTGCCAGTGCATATGAGAGTGTTACATGCCTATTCTGAGCACTGTATTATTCCATAAATTCAAGTGAACAGCATAAAGTTCAAGGATGCGCAGACACCTGTTGTGTACAGCCAAGAATTCCCGCATACATTCCCTAACTGTAATTTTGGTTCTTAAATTTCTTCCAGACCTGAGTTAACTGAGGTAAGATTTTCTGCTGTTTAAGAACAAGTCGAAGATAACGACCACTTGCTGCAGTTTTCCTGAAAGTCTGGTTAATACAGATCTCTTGGCCAGTTCTAGTAACACTGGCAATTTCAAATAGCAAAAACCTGACATAGAAGTCTGTGACTACATTTACTAGCTATATTCAATATTAACCCTTGAAAACTTTAACCTTAAAAACAATTGAAATAGAAAGTATTTCTGCAGCAGATCATCCAACAACACCTGACAGTCTGGGCACCAAAAGGTCCCTGACCTACAGCTGTTTGTACCTCCTCATGATGATCCATTCAGCACCGAGTTTACTTGAAATGGTCTATTCTTGGGGGGGAAAAGAATACTAGTGCAAGAGAAGGGTGCAGGTACTGCGTGGAACAGCCTTACAGGCAAAGATCTATCGAACAGCACACGATGTGTGTGTGATCACCATGAGCAGTGACATTCACCTGCACCAAGGAAAGAGTCCATCATCCAGAAAGATTACAAACACTTAAAACTGCTCTGAATTATACAGTAGCAGGCATTTAGTCATCTAACCTTTCAAAAATTATTTTGCTGCACCATCAGTAGAAAAATCTTAAGAGCACTGACAGCTTTTCCTACCTCAAGGAACTGATGGGTTCCCTCCCAAGTACCTCAATTCAAAGTTCTTTTTTAGCATCTTTCTTGCTGTTTTTAATCTGTTAAGTACATTACAGGTTGGCATGACAAGCTCCTGTTTATATCTGGAAGAAACAGAGCTTTAGCTGCTAACTTTGTCAAGCTGCAGTATCATGGCTCAGAGAGAATAAACAATCTTCCTCTAACTGTTTGAAGCAAATCCCTCATATTTACCCACTTTCTCACTCATTTAGAAGAGCTCTTATCCTTAGCAAACACACAGTTCACATCCTAAATTTTAAAATTAATACTTGATGTGTCTTCTATAATTACACCCACTAGGGAGTCCCAAACAAGTTTCATTTCTGCTAATTAAAACACCTTAGAGGGGCCCAACACTCAATATCAAACAATCAGACAGTGAGTGAGCTGCACTCCCTGAAGTTCACAGTAACAGGTTCCTCCTAGAAGGGACTTCTCTCTTCAGTCCCCTGGGCAGTAGAAGTACTTGGTAGGTTCACACTTACCCCTGCCAGTTCTTGTTGAATAGGAGCAAGATGGGCTCCAGCAGCAGGACTCAGGGCAGTGCTGGCTGAGGCCACAGTGGGAGCAGGGTGCTCAGAGACGTGCTCACCAGCTGACGCTCTGTGACCCAGACCATGGTGGGGAGGCTCAAGCTCTCCCTGGGGGTCCTCGCCTGAATCCAACAAAGCTTTTTGCTCTGCAGGGGACTGGGAGCAAAAAAGACAACGTCTCTTCAGTGCAAGGCTGCAAGATGAGAGAGCAGTTGGCCTAGCGAGAGGATCTGCGAATCGCAGTTTAAGTTCCACTGCTTTCACAGTAAGGCAGGAGTTGCCTGCTGCTGAGACACCAGTTAGAATACGCGCAAACCAGGCAGCAGAACCTGCTGACTGAATTAGCTTCCCCTCCCCACAAAAATCATCAGTTGGAGCAAATGCACTGTTTTTGAAAGTCAGATAAAAATTTGTGTCCCCAGCAAAGGAGCGTTTTGCCAGGCACGGGGTTGCTGGGGGTAATTCCTTCTCTAAACACCTGAAGAACAGCGATTGCTTCTACCCCCAGACTCAAACATAAGAATTAGACCATTACTGTCAGTAACTGTCCTTCACTGCTTCTTCAGACCACATTTGAGGGAGGTGGGGTGATTACAAGATTCTCCACAGAAATTCATTAATATAACATTCCCAGAAGACACAATCCCTTCATATTCATGCCATGGTGAATTATCTGAAGAGCAGTGCCAATGTTTTCTTTTGTAAATTAAAAGGTTTGCAGATGTATTTCAAGGAGGGAGGTGACAGGATAGCTAGCACACACTAATGGGATTTGATATCTGCTCAACTTCTGCCACAGACTCTTTACATTTCTTCAGATCATTTAACGCTGCAGGTCATCACTTGCAGAACAAAAATTAAGCATTAACATATTCTGCACATGTCTGAAGAATAAAAAGTTAAAAAGATTTTGAGCCTGAATAACTTTATTGTGATAAAGGGCTAAATTACAGTCCATGGATAATAAACAGGCCAAGGACGTTCTCCCTACTGCGATCTGTGGGCCAGGCCTCCTGGTGTCTCACGGTGGAGTATCTGGAAAATCATGCAGCCAGGCAAAGATGTCTCTAAGCAGCACATAACTGGGGCTCGCTCTAAGAAAGCATTCAGAGTAAACAGCAACCTCAAAAATAAACAGCAGCTTTTAGATCTTCAGGGCGCAAATTTCTGCAGCTGTAGCTTGGCCTGTTATCAAACCGAAGCAATTACAAGAGACAGCAATAGACGCAATTTCATCAGTGGGTTCCTTGCATTTCAGTGAAGTTACTCAAGTTAAAGTTAAATAAATTACTATTGTTAAGGCTCAAAATAATAAAAAATTATTTAATGGGGATAACATTATGTCAGGTAAAGCTGGGGAAGCCAGATTTTTATATTCTCAAAATTTTCTCATTTTAATATGAGGCTGTTACTAACAGACCCAAACACCAGCATAAAATCCCACAGAATGAGAGAGAAGAGTTAAAAAAGCCTCTTGTTTGTCACCAAAAATTAAACCAAGACTAGCACTCGGCTATTCTGACCTCTTTGGCTCAGAACAGCATGCAAAGGCTAACTGGAACTGGTCACAGCGTGTGCAACATATGTATGGTATGCATGTATAAAGACACCTCAGTCCTCCACCCAACCTTCTATACCCATTACTGCTACTACCACAGACCCAGTCCAGCTGTGGTGCAGCCGATGGAGACAACCCTGCCCCCATTCACACAGCCTTTGGAGAACCTGTGGGGGAACAGGACCCTAAAAACCAGAGTGGGAAAAATGCTGAAAGCTATAACCAGAACAGTATGAGGGAATGAGGATGGGGGAAACCATCCTTGTCAACAGCCCAAAGGAATCTCCTGATGGGCTCACCATCACCAGGATGATCACCAGGCCCCCCTCAGAGGACCATGCGGATGGTGGTAGCTCACATGCTCAGGTACAGAAAAATTCAAAGAAAAAATATGGAGCCTCATGAGCAACTTATGCTGACTTGTAGCTACAGATCATAAAACTGCCAATAATGCAAGAGCATCCAAAGCCCACTTGTGCTGTATACTTAAAGTGTGGAAATGACAAATTATTTTGCAAGTAATTCATACCAATGCAGTTTAGAATACTTCCAAGTAGGCTAAGTACACATGCATCAGTTTTCAGTAAATCTTGTAATATGAGGCAAGTATTTTTAAAAAGTGAAATAAGCAAGGTAACCTAGCACCAATTTGACTTCTACCCTAAGCAAAACCGGAACATGTGCTCCAAGACTCAGGAAAGAAACCCAAAATAGCAACTATTGCCAATCACTACTCGCACACAGAAAAATCTGATACCAAGATGAGAATTTCTTGACCAGGTCAATACATAAAATTTTATTTAAAAAAAATGAATGTATTAAATGGATCCGAAAGTACTGCAAGTTTCATAATTTTGTGAACAGCATGTGGTTTAAGTCATGGAAGACAAAACCAACAAAGGCCTCATGGATGTGTCACACCAGAACTGCTCCAGACAGAAGTGTGTTCAGCTGTTCTCAAAAACACACATCCAAAGAAAACTGCAAGCTCTTGAAATTCATTTCAGTCTTCAGTCATGCTGGCTACTGAAGGTGTTTTCTAATCTCTCTACTTCACAAATTCTAATCTTGGTTCTTGATCAAAGTGAAGAACAGTTCATTCTCTTCATTTCTCCTGCAATGTTTTATGTCTGTGATGATTGGTCCCTCCTTGAGCTCCTCTTCTCTGGAGGAACCATTCCTTGTAAGGACAGTTCTGGGAGAACTTGGCTCTTGTTTCTTAAACATTAATGCAAAGATCAATGGAGAGATTAATAATGTTAGGAAGCCACCTACACAAACTCACCTTGTTCAGCCAGATCCAAGAACATCCATTTTATTAAAACAAAAATAACACACCTAGACTAAATAAGTTAAACTGTACTTGGAGATTTCACTTCCTCTGCATTGCAGGAAATAAGGAGGGATTTGAAGAAATACATAAAAGTTAAGATTAACACGATGCCAAAACCACCAAATGTAGGCAAGGAAATAATACTGCTTTTTCATAAAGACTGGCACAAACGCTCTCGGGTCAGTTTTTCCTCCCAATTCCAAGTTGTGCTATTTATGCCTCCTTTCCTCATCTTCCCCCAACTAGCACCAATATCCAATGGCCCAAAAAGACGACTTATGGTCTATCTTTTCACAACCTTTTCCTGTTTATAGTGGAGGAAAACTCCTGTTGGTGTCCTCAGCAGCTTTTGCCATTACCAGCCTCTCCTTACTCCAAGCTTTGCCTTGCACAACTGTCCTCTCCAAGTACATTTATGATTGTTTTTCTAAGTGCAGCAATATAGCAAAATATTCACAGTTATGAACTCATAAGCATTAATTTTAACTCTAAGTTACTATTGACTTACAACAGTTCAATTGGGTTTCCCTAACAAAACCACTTCAGCTGTGTAACAATACCAAGAGCCTGGAAAATGAGATACAGTTGTTTCTCCCTACACAAGTTACTTACAGAGTTCTTTCTGCCACCATCCTAAAGCTACAAGTCATGCCCATGGCATGAACATTTTCTGATCATCCACCTCCTCAAATCACTGAAACCCAGACACTTCCAAATCACACTACATCAAACCAGGACTTCAACCAATCCCAACTTTGTGTATCATATAATACAGCTCTCTCTTTTCTAAACTCACCACAGCTCACACTTGCAGAAGGACACCACTTTAAAAGCAGTTTTGGATTGTTTCTCTACAACACTACTGGTTAGATTTGTTTGAGCTATTATACCTGCTTAAAGACTTGTAAATGCAAGAAAGATTTCAGAATACTTTGACCTCAGAAATGTACGTTATAAAAGTTAACTTAATAAAATGACTTCAAGTAACCTATGGACAAAAACTGTCATGGAACAGTTTTATGGCAGAAGTTAAAATTAGTTCCAGAGCAGAACGGCAAGTCTAACAAGCAACAAAAATTAATCATAGAAAAAGCTGCATCTATCAATTGAAACTTTGAATTCAAAAAGTGCCATAAAAGCACATTATAGTTCATGTGTTAGTTATCCGGATAGACAATAGGGAAACAGCGATATTCTATGCTTAACATAGTGAGGTTAGGACTTCACGTTGCTTTCAGATCTCAACAGCTATCACTCTTCCTAAGCTGGTGGAATTTTCCAACTAGTGTCAGCAGCAGAGGCTCTGCTTGTCAGGAAAATGAATGGCAGTGTATGAAGAACACAGTTCTTGCAAATGTGAATGGTAGCATCCAACTATCTCTATTTCACACATTGTCAAAATAGTTCAAAGAGTTAAGGAGATATGAAAATAATGAAAATGGACACTCACTCTAAAAATGTGGAAACAGCCAGCTTCACATCCACCATTAATTAACATCTGTAATGAAAATCAGAACAGACTAATTCTGTCTCTTTAACTGCAAAAGAAAACAACCAGAACCTCTGTACTGAAAGTAAAATTAACAGGCATCACTCCAAGCACCACGTACTCTTGGTCCCTTCTAAATAAACATGCCAGACTGCATGTTCTGATGTTTTACTAAACTGTGCACAACCTTAGCTGGAACAACAGGTTAAAGAGTTTGTTTCCAGATGAGTATGCATTTTGTCCTACAACATGCTGGATATTTTCCAACTTCTAATGGAGAAGCAGACATCTGAAACCTCATAAACACAAACTTTGGCAGAGATTTCTACAAAAATAATGTTCTTTAACTTAATAGTAAACAAGGTTAGCTCCAGAAAAGTCAGTTAAGACCACTAACAGCATCAACCCAGCCCCAATACTGAGAGGGCCTGAACACAGTGCAACAAAATAATCCTGCTCAGGATGTCCTGTTTGATGCAGAAGAGCACAAGCCGAACATCCAAATAATCATCAGGGACAGTTTACTGAACACACAATACGATGCCTTCTCCTCTCAGCTCACTGTCAGATTGCTGTGCTGCTGCTGAAAAGCCTCTGTGAACACTTGGTTACAGCTCCAGAATAAAGCCAACCTGACTAGACAGACATTTTGCTAAATTAAAATTGTCATTTACATAGAGAATTTACATATTTTAGAGGTGTGTTATTTGTCAACTATTTTGAAGTTACTTTTGTATTTCCTTCAAAACACTGCTCTAAGAAAAACTGCTGTTACTAGATTTTTCTCGTTAACTTCAGTAAGGATAATCTTTTGCAGCAGGCAATGCACTTACCCAGACACTTTGTATGGACACAGTAACAGAGTTAACATTTAACTGTAACACTCAGCCGTTAAGTCTTTTCCAAAAATACAGTGAAAGGTCTCAACCAGTGTGTAACCCCAGCCATGTTTTCTTGATTAAGTTGATTAAAGCGACACTCAGCTGGCCTGAACACCAGGTTCTGATATACACAGCATATATTAAGTGGCTGTTACTTATGGCTGACTTTATTACTATTGTATAAACATTTCAAAAACCCCACCTACTGGCACAAGCAACAAGCAGGCTTTGGCCCTTTATTCAACAAAATGATGAGCAGCACAGCACTGACACTTCTCCCCAGTCTCAAATACACACAATATAAGGGACTAAAATGATTAACCACCCCTCCCCCTTTTTAAGAAAATAATACATCTCCACCCATGACACAGCTTAACATAAACATTTATGTTTGTTACTAGATGTATTACACTTTGGAAACTGGCAACCAAGTGAGAGATGCCACTGGCAGACTCTTCATGATCTGCTTCAAGGAACAAGCCTTGTCCCCCAGCCAAGCAAGAGCTACTCCATACTGACCACAGCCAGCCCCCTCGAGCATCAACACCACCTCGTATTTAGATCCATTCCTAACTCATTTCTAACCCCTGTGCCTTCAAGATGCTTGGCTCACCCTCAGGCCTTGTCACACACAGTCCCCTCCACCTCACTCCCCAGCAGAGGTGCCACAGATCTGTCCTACAGCCCAACACTGGAGGTGCACACTCTGTGCAGGAACAGGAGGTACAACGTGGTGGAATTTGAGAACGCAAGACCCATCAGCTTGGCACTGAAGGACAAGCCAGCAAAGAAAGGACACAGGACCACGTTGCTCTGCTTGGGCTGCACGTGGCTCTGATCACTGCTTCCAGACTCACTGTGGAAGCACTGGCAGGCTGAAGGACACCTGGGCAGAAAACTCACCATGGTGCAACTCAGAAGGGGCTTCAGCAACAGCCTAAGCAACAGCGGGCGATTGGGAGCTGTTGCCCAGAAGGAAACAACCTGATCCAATCTGACAGCACAAACACTAGCGCTCCCTTCATTCCAGGGTACACGTAAATTGTCACTGGAAAAAATGTAATTGGAAGAAACGTCTCAAAAGTATTTACTCTAAGATGCAGTTAATTTGATCAGCTAACATGAGAAGAACGGCAGATTTAAATCCTTTCCAAGCTGACAAAAGCTTTCAAGCTCCTGCTGAGGAGTATGCCTACTAAACCCGTGAGAAAGCTCGAGTCCGGTACTTGTTCCAAACCAAAGAAAAGCTACTAACTGCAAAGTGGTTGAGTATTTCTATTCAGACATTTGAGATTATTTTCTGATTGCACAGATAATATAACAGCCCAGTGATTCAACAAAGAGTGTATCGTGTACATGAGTACATTTCTCTTGGTTCCCACCAGCTTCAGCTGAAAAAAGGGTAACTTTGATTCTGTGTTTTTGTTTCTGGGGGGTTTTCCCCAGGTGTTAACAGCTTTTACTATTAACCAGGCAGAATTAAATACCACTATATATTGAGATTCTTATCAATTTCACTGAAAACATTTTTACTATATAAGAAACTGGAAGGCTTATGGTTTTAAAAATGAACAAAAAAGAAAATTGCACCCTAGCACTCATTTCTAACATTTTGTTTCACAGTGAAAAGGAATGCAAACTACACTGCACTCCACACGGTCATGGTTTTCCATTGCAACTATTTCAGTGTAATAGCAATTTCACCAAAGGGAAGGTCCTGCTCCTTCCTTCAACTCTCATTTCCCTCTTGGGCTCTACTCCTCCTGCAGCCACAGAATGGGTTGTGCCAGCCTTGGTTCAACACAAGCTCACCCACGGGCACCTTCCAGGAGATCATGGCACAGCTTCGCCCCACCTCAACACTGGGCAACTGCTACCACAGACCCAAAAGGCAGCGGACAAGAACACATGGCAGAGGTAGAAAGACAGGTGAGGGAACAGGATCACCATTTTCTGAGGTAACTAGACACTTCCCAGCTGACTAACCAAAGATAGGAGATACACTTAAACACACTGAGGTGAAAAGCAATCATCTAGACCATGGGATTTCTTCACTGTGTCTTAACTCTATTATCAGAAAAAGTAGTATTATAGTTTTATCATACAACTGTCAGTGCTCCTTTGCCACCTGTTCCTTTCAAGATACAGCTTTGAAGATATTTTTCTCCTAGATTTGGTCCATCTTCTGTCAGAAGAGGTACCCGTTTCATGCCACATTCATACCTCTGTCCAGTTTTAGCCCTCCGGTATCTCTTCACCCTGTGCCCATTAATAATGTTAATGATCTATTATTCATCTTCAAAACAATACAAACTGCTTCTCACCGTGGAATGGGTCAGGGCTACAGAATAAAACAGAAATAAAAATCCCAGCATATCAGCATCTCCTTACCTTCTGTGCTTTGTCCTTCTGAAATACAAAGACAGGTGGAGCAATGGCAGGTTTTTCTGTAAAAAGAGAAATTGTTCGTTTTTCCACATTCATTATTGACCAATATGAAAACGTTACGTTCTATGATGCTTTTACCAACAATGAACCCCTAAACCAGTTACTTCTCAGTTATACAAACTGTTTCCACCAGGTCCTGGTAAAACACAATTGTTAAGGACTTGATCTTCAAAAGGAAAAAGGAGTGTTTTAAGAAATCTGTTCCAAGAAATTTTTAAGAAAACAGAAATAAGCTTCCCTGAGAGATTAACAAACTGATACACCTTGTGCACGAGTTATATTTGAAGGGAAATTGCACATACACTATGCAGTCAGCAACCCTCATACACATTTATAGGGCTAAAGATGGGTACAATATTTAAGTCTGTTTCCAGAGCAAAACTGCTGTGAAACAATGGGATCCAGAGAGCTGTATTTTGGCTGATTTCTTCACGAAAGTTCCATCTTTACAATTATTCATTCTTACAAACAAGACTAGACATTTTAGGAAATAAAGTTTCTAAAAACTTCTACAACTTGAAAGGCTACCATAAAAGAGAAATATAAAGCCATCAAGAAGAATTACCTTGCACCTGAAAAAAAAAGACAGTATCACAAAATGTTCCCTAAGTCAGTTGCAGCATCAGTAAAGCACTTGGGTCAGCAAAGCACTTGAGTCAGCATACAAGGAAAGAGGGATGAGACTGCTCATTTGAGAGCTGCTATTAGATCAGTTTTGGTGAAAAAGTGAAACTTTACCTGACAAACACAAAGATTATAACAATTATTCCAAGAACTCTATGCATTTATATGTCAGGGTGGAAAAGCCTCTTTCCACTCTTCAGTGGCTCTAATTCAGAGGGATAACCCAGCAAAAATACTACAGGACTGATTTTGCAAGACTGCTGTAAGTTGTTCCACAAAAGGTAAAATTAATCTCAAAATAAAGCTCCTTACTGCAGCATCTGTCTGCTCTTTTTTCCCTTTATTTTCAAAGTTCTTCTATCCATCAAATACTGCTGACTCTTAAAAATGCTTATTAGTGAGAGCAATGCAGACAATCTGTTTCAAAAGTGAAAAATAATCTACTAACTAACAAAGGTAATGCACAAAGATTTAACTGCTATACAATTTGTTGAACCAAGCCATGGAACCCTTTTGGTTCCTCAGCCTCAGCACAACCTGCCTGTGAGATGCGCTGCTCCCCAAGCTTTCCATCCTTTACTCCAAAGTGGTGTTCATGTCTTTACAGCACGTTTAGTATGCCTCAGTATTCATTATTGCTGAATTACAGCAACAAGTAGCATGCATTCTACCAAACTACTTTCATCCAGTCAATAAAATGCGGTATCGGTGTCCTTCCCTTTCGGGATCTGTCAGAAAGCACTCGATTGTGCAATGCACAACACACAAGAGACTTCTGTACCAAATTCCACAGATACCAAAGAGGACCGGACAGAAAAAAACCCTATGCAGTGCTTAATGAAGGACTGAAGTACTGAGAAGGAAGAAAGCAAACAATAAAAAAGCAGACCCAACAACAATGCAAAGTGCAGAGGAAGCATGGGATGGCTGGCAAAAGAAGAGAACTGGGAGCCAAAGAAACTGATGCAAAAGAACAGGACAAAATAGCAGATGAGTGTGGTGATGGAAAACTGAGTACTCTGAAAAAAAGAACAGGGATGCCAGGAACAAGAGAAAGCTCACAGAGGTAAATAAAATATAGGATGGAAGAACCAAGGAAGAAAATGGAGTGAAAAAAAAATCAAATATTAGAGATCATGTCCAGCTACAGCAAATGAGACTGGGAAGAGTAGCCAGTAAAGCAAGCTATGATCAGTCCTGTTAGCCAAGGGGGAAGAGACAACACTTGTGCAACGTAAGAGAGTTTCTACCCACTGAAGGAACACAGTCCTCCAGCACTCGAGATGAAGGAATCTCACCATTACTCTTGCTGGTTGTGGGACAAACTGACACGATGGCATCTGGCAGGAGTGTCCAGGAGACAGCAGGCACTCATGCTACCACCGACACCAGTGCTGGGCCAGGCACGTTCTGCACTGGGGAAAACTCCTTCACCATGTCCTTTCTAAAGGCCACAGTGCTGGAAATGCTTTCATAATTCTAGCCCAGGGCAAGAAGGGATCACTGCATTGTTTAATCTGACTAACTTCATTAAACACTGCATATTTTTGAGTCTTACTGTTTCAGGGAAACATTTTTGAATGCATCAATTATTGAAGACATTAAAAGCAAAGTATTATTGCCTTCAACCATCCATTTTAAACACTTGATAAAAGAACTCCAGTGCCAAATTTCCCATTCAAATGTCTGTCTTCAGCTCTCAATTTTGATTCTTAGTTATGCTTTTTGAACACATTTCTAATAGATAAAGAACTCTCTAGTATTTAATGTTTTTCCTGAGAAAGCACTTACACAAGCCATGTTTTCAACTAACCACCACAACAGATTTTCTTTCTGTAGAACAGAAATGCATACGTTACGTAGTTGTAGGGGTTTTTCCCCACGTGGTGGGCAGAGCAGCTTATTAAGTGCACCTCCAAAACAAGAATTACTCTGTCGTTTGTACCAGTCAACAGCAGAGGCAGGTCATGTTCTCACATAGCAAGCGTGCTTCTCTTCCACCAAGGTGTCTGAAGGACGACTGACAGTAAAATGGACCTGTCAGGTCCACAGAACTGTCACCAAGTTAAAGAGAAAATAAAGCAGGATGAAGGATGGAAAAAAACCCACTCAATCTTCAACTTCAGGTACGACACATGTAAAAGAACATGAGATCTTCTCTTTCATCTAAGATACGAAGAGACACAGCATACTTAATTATTGTGGAACAGACTGTTTTTCTCCAGACAAGAAGGCAAAACAAGGAGCTGGAGATGCAGAAACAATGTCAATTTTCTAACCAAGTTAGTCTCAGTAAAGGTGTTCTGAGAGAGCCCAAGCACATACAAAGGAAAGCGGACTTTCAAGTAATTACTGTCAGAGACCATAAGATCCCAATCTGAAGATCTGGAGCTTGCACAAACCACTTGGTTTCTTCTGAATGGCGGCAGGCTGTCAAACCAGTCTGAAAAGTGGCTGAATCCACAGAACTTCTTCCTGCAGTTTATTCACAAGTTTCAGACTTTTCAATCTGCATTAATTACAAAAACCTCAAGAGCTGGCTTTCACAAGCTACATTCCTTTTTCACTGTCAAGTCACTAACGAGCAGTACATGTCCTATGTGCTGTCAGAAAAATATATGTACTCTTAAACCTAACTCAGTTTGCTTTGCAAGTCTTGGAAACCAAAACACAGAAGCAGAAAATACTACCTCATGGCTCAGGCAGAGGTATCTTCAAGTCACATACTATTTAATGTAAGAATTTTACCTCAGATACATGATTACTTGTAGCTGTATCAAACTCTGCAATGTCAACCATGTTTCCTACAACTAGACAAAACGGCCTTGCTCTACCCCTCCACCCATTCACACCAGTGCAGCCACAGCAGCTGGTGGAACCTCTAGCAGCCACAGGAGTTATTTTTGCAGTACGAAGTTTTAAGTCTCCACTGCAGAATGAAATGACCCATTACTGAAAAATACAACAGGTATTTTGAGTGTATAGATGCAAAAACTATGCCCTTTCTTCATCCATCTCTCAAGGCCACATAAGTGAAAATAAAAGACAAGTTACAACTGCATTAAAATGGGAGGGGGGGGAACCCGGTATACCTCAGAGGCACAGTTCTCTGTATAATTACCAGGCTCACAGAGTAAACGCCATGGCAAAGTCGCAACTAAGGCCAAGAAAGCATTATTCTTTGCCACCAAGAAGCATCCAGGGAAGTGAGCCTTTGCTTAGAACCGAAGAAGCAATCTTCTACACTAAAGGCCAACAAGTTGGTAACAACTGCTCTGATTTTAACTCATCATATCACCTGAGAGAAAACATAGATCATACCCATGAACTACGAAAGTGTTAAAAAAGGAGAACTGCCATTAGGTTCTTAACTCACAAAAAATATTCAGAGTGGTAATTTATTGCCTGTGAAAGGCTTATCTGAGGGTCAAGAGAAATTGAAGTTCAAAGTTAAGCTTAATTATACTCATCTGAACAGCTCAGGCCGCAAAATGTTTTTTTCACCTTAGTACTATTTAAGTTATAAAGAGCAGAATAATCACACTAAAAAACCCAACATTTTAAGAGAGATACAGGCAATTTGCATCATTATAAAATTCTAAAGGTGTTCACAACAAAACAAGACTCTTTTCTCTTCCAATAGCTTTGAACAGACAGAAAGCCACAAGTAAGCTACCACACCAGCAGCTGAGCTCCAAAAAAGGCCCCAAAAGCAAAGTCCAATCATGCTTCTCATCGGAAAGCACAAGAAACACGACAGGATCATTTAGAGCCAGACTTCACAAGTGATGTCATGGTGAACATAACTGACATTGGCAAAAAAGATACTTCTGCCTCATATTCAAAACTTAGATAAGTTGCTTTTTATAAAGTAAAATATCTGACATTCTCATTCACTTTCAAACTCTTTTTCTGGTCTCCTGTAGCATGAGTAAGCAGGCCACTTCCAGACAGTACTTCCACAGCTGGCATGAGAAGGCAGAATGCCTTTTATGTATTAAAGATTAAATAAAAATTCCACACAGCATATTTAAAGCACAAACCTTTTGTGTTTGCATAGCACGTGTTATTTCATTTCCCAAGCTCTCATGGCATAAACAGAAATAAGTTACACTCTGCATTACCTAATTTTACCATTGCAGCTCAAGTACTTCAGATGAAGCAAATGTTACAAGCCAGAAATGGAAAAAAGTAGCTTCTTTTCATATGACAGGAAGAAGAAAATAATGAGGCAACCCAAATACTTTGCAACGTAGATTAAATATTTATGAAGAACTCCAAACAGCGTTAACAAAAATTATTAAAGTGTTTGGACAGCGTTGTCTTGTACATGAAATAGTACTTTATGGCATCTGAATATGAATTATTAGGACATTCCAAAAAACAAACAAACAGAAAACCCAAGCCACTCAGCCTAACTTCGTACCCACTCATTTATCTGAGGTAAATAACTATGGGGAAAAAAAAGACCTTATTTATAGGGTCTACAAACATCAGAGACAGTGTGCATGCCAGCTTTTCCCCTCAAAGCAACAAGAGGCCTTCCTCTCCCCAAAACCAACACAAGGCTGGTGGAATTCTAGAGTCAGAGCAAATAAAGGCAGAAACAGCACAGAAGCGATGTCCGCATCACACAAGTCTGACAACAGCACAATTCGTGTACTCTGAAAGGAACTGCTTCAAATCTCTCACTTGTGTACATTTAAGGCAGTTGCACACAGTAAACTTGTTATGATCATGACCTGCGTGCCTCCGAGTTTCAGAAAGCAAAATAAATAGTGTTTGGTGCCCAAGGAGAGAGTTTGCCAACAGAGGTGGTGCAGGCACCTCCTGAAAGGGAAACATGAAGAAAGCCATCAAATTTTAGCCCTGAGAAAAAACTTGTGCCTTTTCAGTAACTGAAAGGTGATAAATAATTCATTCTCAACACAAGGAGATCCTGTCATCTAAAGAGCAGCTTCACCGCCATGTTATACACAAACAAATTACTAGTTGTGTAATAGCAGCAAGTTAATGAGGAAGCATTTGGGTTTAGGCGAATATATGCCTGGTGGGAAGCTGTCTAGTTCTCTAGGACATGTCACTGCCACATATGTTTTAAGACAATCCAGCTAGAAAACCAACAAAGAACACCGTACCAAAGACTTAAGAGAAAATTTCTAATACCATTCAGTAACTACTTCACCCCACAGTAACAACAGCAACTGTGCCCATCATTCCAAAATCCTGGTTCTCAACAATGCCAGTGCCTAAAGCCTTTATCACAACATCACTAAACCTTTGTGGCAAAGTCAGTCAAACTTCACACAGCCAGGGAGAAGTTACTCTCTCCTCCTCTTCACTAGCTCCACACTTACCAGCCCATCTCTCTTATGACGAGGGGCAATACCAAGCCAGGATCTGTTCCCAGAAAACGTCACAGTACAAACTCCTTTGGGAAGTGGCACTTGAACCACCTCATCCTTCACCCCCTGCTCTGCACTATGCCACCAAAGCACTGCAAAGAGGTGGCTGCACGGTTTCACCAACTTACTAGAGATAAAGAAAAGTGAATGGAAAAATTCAAAGAACAACCAGAATGAAGAAAATGATGCAGTTATGAGCATATCAGAGAGAATGCTTGTAGCTTTGAATAAATGCATCACAGAAAGATCACTCATTAAAATACTTTGAAGGCTTAAATTACAGTGGTAGAACGGTCACTTGAAGGCAATATTGACATCTCAGTGGTGATTTAAGACAGACAATAGACAAAGAGATACACTGGACTCTAGAAGGTAAAGATAACAAATATACTGGTGGAAAAGGAAAAACCAATGAAATAACTGAAACTAAGAGGTGCCACGGTAAAAGCAACAGGTTAAGAGAGCTTTGCATTAGTAAGACGAAAGGACACAGGCAGAAGAGAACACCACTCTTCAAGGCCAGAAGGCTTGCTGCAGTATTCAAAGGGGTAAGAGCCTAAGCAAGTTACACTGACATGAACAGACAAGAAAAGCTGTTGTTCAAACACACTAAACAAAAACAACCTGCAAGAATGACTGAAATCTTTCTAGGTACTTGTGTCTACCATGTGTCAAAGGATAATAAGCTTCCCACCTCACAATGAAGTATGATTGAGGCTGCACTGCTGTACAGATCAATCAAGATCAGGGAATATTAAGAGCTTTTTTTTTTTAACCACTCATGGTCTGTGAACATGAACACTGAGCTATCAAATATTTCAAACAAGAGAAGATCGATATGAAGAAGATCAAACAGTACCAAAACAGTGACTTCATATGTTCGAACAAAAATACCTGGGCAGAGGGAAAGCAAACATTCACCTGCAGTACTGGGGGGGGGGAAATTCAAACAGATTATTTTCTCTTCATTCTTGAATGCATCAAAGTCACCTGAGAACATCATTGCCAAGTCAGAGACAGCAAACAAGGAATCACTGACTTCCAGCAGAAGGACGCCAGTTCCAGAAAGCGTGTGTATCTGCACTGGTGTACAGAGAACAGACACCTCAAAAATAGAGCTGGAGGAAAGAAAAACCAACACCATACAAGGCAGCCAACAATATTACAATGAGCAGAAGAGACAACAGTTCAAAGCAAGCTGAACTTGCTTAATCATACAAAGATTCTATCACATTCTCATTGCACGGAGAAACAGAACAGCCAAGGATTAAGATTAAAACTCTGGAAGGCGATGAGAGCACAAACTACAGAGATTAGCAGCTGAGGGAAGTCACTGGAGTCAGGAAATGGTCTGAAGAGAAAAAATAAAAGGGAAGATCAGATAAAAAAGTAAGGATGGCACCACACTTCCCCCACCTCCCGAGTCTGCACAATTCTGCAGGAATTTAGAGGAAGGGGTAGGAACACATGACAAGTCAGCATCGAAAGGTGCCATAAACATCAGTAGCTTGGAACTCACCACTGAGCTTAATATTTCTCACTAGAATAGGGAGGTAAAGTGAGGGGCTTGCACAACTTAAAACAGCCATTCCTAAACTCCTGGTTCTAAAAGAACACAATAAACCATCAAAACTTATTACAAGGTCATTATCATGATAGTATGTAAATACCGCCATTAAGTTTCTCACACGCAGTCATTACGCATTTCACTATTTACTGCCATTCTCGAGACCACTGATCGTGTCTCTTTGGGCACTGACAGCTCACCTCAAGTCTGGGAGCCAACAGCCCAAGACATGCTGCATCTCAGGATTTATCAAACACCTTAAGTGTAACTATGCTGTTAGGTGCTTGTAGGCTTCATCTTCAAAAGCTACACCTACAACAGATATTTGCTGTTGATACACTAATATCAGAACTGTAATTGCCACCGGTACAGAATTCAGATGTGAGCTACAATCCTGCAGGAAGGGGTCTCATACACTTTCATTCCCCTCCTTCAGGGCATTTCACCCCACTTTCATCAGCTGAGAAGAATGATGAGAAACAAGAGACAGCTGGGGCAAACTTGGGTTTGCAGAGACTTTGGCAAAGTTGGTCATTCTCAAAGGCAAACTGTTGATGCCCACTGCTGCTTAAACGACATTCCCACACCTTGGAATACCCAAATCCTGCACTAATGCAGCCCACGTTTTCTTAACCCTCCTCAGAGAAAAACAGAGCCACTATTTTTTTACTTCAGAGATTCCTGGCTTCAAAAATAATACCTATATTATTATACCTCACCTAGTTTTAACCGCCTGTTATTCCCTTAGCTACAGGAAGGATTAACACAAGTGGGAATTAAGGAAAGATTTACAACACTCCTGAAGTTGTAGACAATGACCCCGGAAA